ACCAAGTAGAACAGCCATACACATGCCGCTGTGGCCGAACCTCATCCGCGTTTGCTAGTACGATCGGAGGAATTTACTTGTATGCGGTCGAAGACTCACAGCGGGCTCTAAATTGGCCAGGGTCGATAATGCCGGTCTCGGAACAATGCCTCGGAGAGGGGGGTGACAGTCATAATGCGGATACTTACCGGGACAAGCGTTAAGTCGCGTATAGATATTGGTTGCTTACGCTAGAGAGGCGGGTTTTGCAGTTTGACGATATATCCTAACACAGCAGATAGAAGAGTTTATTGAAAGCGGTATTTCCCAATACACATTGATCAGGGAACTGATAAACAGGCAGCATAATCTTGACTTCTCGCGCTAACAAGCACGGCTTCGACCACCTGTGAAAACATCGGGATCTAGGTAGTACTTATTTTTCTCATTATTTTCTGCTTAGAAGGAAAAACCGGGTCGGCTCAATTTTTAAGGTCGAATGCAAAGACTGGCGGACGTGGGATACAGGATAAACCTTAGTTTTTCGAAATTTCTGTCGCAGACTCGTATTTCGGCACCAATAACTACGGTATAAGAAAGTAAATAAAATTAACGGTGAGATACAAGATGTACATTGTCCAATTTTGAGACGGCAAACGGCCTAGCCAACGATAAAAAATAAACAATTTTAAGGATCGGAACGATTCGATCGTTTTGTGTGCCGACTCATGCGAAGGGATATCAGAGATGGGCATTTAAGGCGTCCCGCTACGGAACTGCGCAGTAAATGGCAATAACAGCCGCTCTCCAGTACTTGCGTAGGATCGGCTTGTAGTTTGTATCTAGCCTCGGGTTCGCGAAAACTGGAAATTAGTGGAAGTGGTGGACGAAAAGAATAAATCTACGTCTATGCATAATTGGATTCATCTACTGACCACCGTAATGTGTAATTGCGACCCGTAACCGATGGCGAATTTACTTATCCCCATAATCGCCAATAGCGCGTTGGGTTACTTTTGACAGAAGCGGCGTGCCAGAAAATTCACATTCTCACCTCCACCACCTATACATCGATGGCAAGCACAAACCGCGTCGACTAAAAATTATGCGCACTGGATAATATGGCGTGAACAGTGTATACAATGTTAGCCAATACAATCACCCGAGCC